GTAGACGTAGACGTAGATGTAGACGTAGATGTAGATGTAGATGTAGATGTAGATGTAGATGTAGATGTGTATATGTGTATATGTGTATATGTGTATATGTGTATATGTATATATGTATATATGTATATATGTATATATGTATATATGTATATATGTATATATGTATATATGTATATATGCATACGCATATATATATATATATGCGTATGCATATACACGTTGGAGCGTCACACCCAAATGCTGGTAGTGATCATGCGAAGCTTCAACAGTCTCGAACTGCGCATCAAACATGTTGCAAGCAAAACTGTCCGCGGAACAAGCACTGGTTGCTGACGACAAAGCAAAGCTTCCGTAGGTGGATGCTCATGTTGCTTGGCGACTGCCAAGGCTTTTCTCGACTTGAAACCCAAATTGCACTGGGAAGCATCTGCAAGTTTGTGCTCACATGCCGTTGCATGTCATCTGGAATATTGGACGAGTCCGCTTGAACCGGGCGGTGCGGTGCAGTTCTGGCACAGGTATTTGCGTGCAGTGGATTTTGCGCGGTAGATTGGACATATCAACTTTAAACAGCATCCAGTGTAGTGTTTCATTGACAGACGTAACGGCTACTTGTCCAGTCTGCGAGAAGTCTGTGAGTCCAGCTGGCTGCGTTTTGGGGGGACCTCGTCGATACGTCACAGGACGATCGTTTTGGCTGATTGGCGGATCCAGTCCAGCGGTCAGTCACCTGCAGTCTTAGGCTTGTGTCTTTGCCACTACGCCAGAAAACGCAGCTTTCCGTAGATTTTCGACGGCGGCAAGCCAAAACCTAACGACGACGTCCAAGGCCTCCTTATCATTGGCCGAAACCGATTGTGCAGCAGCAAAGAATAGAGCAAAGAGCCAGGGCCGGCTCCAGCGCCGGTGACCACATGTTTGGCCATGTTTGGCCATGGCCATCGCCGAGGTTGTGGCCAGGTCTCCGCATAGAGAACCACTGTGTCCTACGCAGGCACACGGCTTAGAGTGGCAATCTCCCATCATCGTTGCACCTTTGGCAGGATCCGGGTGTCGACCGTGAGTCCGATGAATCTGAGGCGAGAGCTGCTCCGTGGGTTCCTCGCTTGTTCTCTGACACATCATGCGCTTGGGCGGGCAGGAAGAGGATCTTATGGCGGTGTTGAGCTCTTGCCGGGAAGCGAAGGCTGCACCTATGCCATGCCATGCTCCACGTTCGAGTGTGTCACTGGCATCATTTCATTGCAGGCCTGGGGCGTGCTAGAGAGCTTGGGCTCAAAGCAAGAAGATCAAGGTGTCCTCAAGCAGGAGCTTTCGCCATCCGCTCCATCTCAAGCAGGGACCGCTGCTGCCACATGTCAGTCGGTGGATGAGCATCTCCCATCCAGGGAGGCCTTGGATTTGGACCGGGACGAAGCCAGTGGCACATGCACAGATGGAGCGGCCTTGGGAGAACCAGAGACGGAGCGAGGCCCCGCACCTGGCCAGTTGGAAGACGTGCCGGCACATCGTGATCGACCCACCGGCTCGCCCTCTTCCAGATTTGAGACTTCTCCAATCTCAGCTTTAGTGCTGCGTGCAGGTGGGGGCTTTTTCTTTGTGCGTCATGACTGACTGGTCGAAGCTGAGCGGGAGGCAGTTTATCTACGCATGGAAGCAGAGCGAGCCAATTCTATGACCTCGCGTTGGCCTCGGATTGACAACGTGAAAACCTTTCAAAAGTCTGTCACAATGTTGATAGCTTCGCCAGGTGAAACTGCGTCGCCGCACTGACTGTGCAGAAGGCTGCCGGATGTTTCTGATCGAAAAGGTGGATTCCGGTGTAGGTAAGAAAGGCACCGTGGGTCACGTGAGAAGGCCAGACTTGACATGAACAACAACGCCCTTGGTCAGGAGCCAACGGCTTCTTCGAGACTTACCGAGTTTTGCGAAAGCGAGGCGTGCCAGTCGGTGGTCACTTGGCTGTTGCGCGTGGCTGGGGTCAGGACGAGGGGACACGCAAGCCTCGACGACAACAGCGGTTTCTGGCTGCCAGGACGAGGATTGGGACGAAGATTGGGGCAGAGAGTTTGCTGGCTGCGGCCCTTGTGGAGGCTTGGCATCCAGCTCATTCAGCTCAGGAAGGCAAGGCTCAGCGCTGCAAAGCCGTGGACTCCGACTCCCGAGTCAGGTTTGGAGGGCCCTGAGAAGGTCCACACCGAGGCGATGCCGAACCCGTCCAATGGTGAACCAGTGCTCCTGCACCCTAAAAAGGTGTAAAGACCTAGAATCCAACTGTGCGTTTTTCTCTGAATGTATGTGGAGTCGATCTTGTGCTGGTCCCAAACCTATCTGCAGGATGACAGCGCGTGCGAGGATGTTGTGATGGCAAAGCAGCCAGAAGGCAATATCCTTACGGCTACGTGCAGCCCACATGCAGGGCATGTCGGGAAGTGACGGTGCTTGTGATCTGCATGTGGTTAGCTCGGTGCGCGAGGCTCGAGTCCATCTAGTCCGACCGCTTCGCCACAGAAGTGCAGTAATGTGAAGTCCTCAGCTCTGTCCATTGTTTCAAAAAAGTTTCGATGCCGAAACTGAGGCAGTCTTTGCAAAGCGAAAGAGGACAATGCAGCCGCCAAACAAGCAACGTAGTGTGGCTAAAATTACGGCAAAGCGCCGGCAGCTCAGCAAGTCTTCCGTAATGCCATGCATGCACATTTTGCAGGCTTGTATCTTTCAGTCCAAACCACCTCGTCAACCCGAGGTCATGTGGCTACTCCAGCACGTGCTTCTGCGGATGCAGCACTCGTGGCAGAGTGCCGCCGAGAGTGTGTGCGCTGTTATCATTGTCTATATTTAGGTACACAAGTTGTCCAAAGACATGTTGCTGTTCCCCTCTCCTCTTCACTCTCGCCCTCACTCTCTCTCTCCCGCTCTCCCACTACCCCTCTCTTCTCGCTCTCCCTCGCTCCCCCGTCCCCTCCCTAACTTTCCCTTCCTCGCTCCCTCCTCAGTCCCTCAATCTCCCTACCCTCGCTCCGGCCCTTCCGAGGCATATACTTCGTCTGGGTCATGTGGCAAGTCGAGCAATGGCTGGGTCCCGAAAACCGCCCACAGGGCGGCGTGAGGATGTCAGACTGCGAGAGATGGACTTCCCTTGCATAAATCACGCAAGGTCCCGCACATCGGCGTCCGAAATGGCAGTGAGGTTTATGTCGGTTTCACTCCGGACAGAGAGCACGGCGGTTCGACAATTCGAATCTCCAGAGTCCGCACTTTAGCAAGCACTCCTGCGTGGCCCTGTGTCGACTGCGAAGCTGCGAGTGCAACAAATTCAGGAGAGGTCATCTCGCACGTGGACTGCACAAGCGCAGACTGCTCCTGCTGTTGAGACTCGTTCTCGCCATCCCTCAAGATTGGCTTGCAACATCATGAGTGCAAAGGGTTCGCCATCTGCACATGCACATGGATCATGTTTCTCTTCTTCATAAGCCTTCAGACATTACCATTGTGACGAGGCTGGTACGCAGCAGCAGACGTCTTAGAAGCTCATGCATTGTCCCGCTTGAAGCGAGAACAGCGGCTGCATGAGCATAAATGCAGATCCATTCGGCCTGCCGGATGGCGGCACCACAACGCAGCTGCCCTGAATTTCGCTTTGAGCTCTGTGATTTCTGTGGCCGACTTGTTGTTGACCCAGGACTGGTCAGCTGGTTATGAGCATTGCACAGAGTGGATCCGACAATGGCCTCAAATGCTTCGAGACGTTGGTCAAGGCCAGAGCCAGAGCAAAGGAGCGGATTCTCACAGAGACATCTTGGGCCCGTTGGGCTGCCTGGAGGCGGTGTGCAATACGGTCGACAAGCCCGAGGAGTCGAGAACCCAGTCCAAACACGTGCACTCCCTGTGCACTCCTCAACTTGCAACGCACATTCTCCAAAAGCTTCCGCATGGATCTGCAGGCCCAGGTACAGAGAGCTTCGACGTGATGTTGCTGCAGTTGTCCAGGTGCAGATTCCGTTGTGCCTTGTTTCTGCTGTTGGTGTTTGGACACCACTGGAGGTCGATGCAGTCCCTGCCTGTGCAATGCTTTTGCGGAGACTGGGCTTCAAGGCTCGTCAACTGTTCCACTGCATCGCCTGATGTTTGCTTACATGCTCGCAAGGACATGGGTGATCGGTACCGTCTTCAGAACAGCGGTCTCCGGTCTTCTGAGGTTACGATGAAGCCTGCAGCCGTTGCTTTGTCATTCTTTCGCCATCGACAGGTCGCTCGTTTCCAGAGTGCACTGAATGAGCTGGAGCATTGCAGGCCGTTCTGCCGGGCTCAGATCGGTTGGGGATTTTGAAGCTCATGAGTCCGGCCCTGCAGTGACCTCGTGGTCCGCCTGGCTCCAGCCATCCATGCCTTGGGCCGTTGACACAGCTGAGCAGCTGCGCATATGTCCGACCTTCTAACCGTTCACCGAGCCCCCGGTCAAGGTCTTCACTGGACCAAGCCCGATGGGAGCTCCACGTTTATGCCTGGTCCCACATATCGTCGCAGCCTTGATGGTTTGTAGATAGTGCTGTGGCTTTGAGCTTGCAGATGCAAGCCGGCTGGGCTGGAATGACGTTGATTAAAGCAGCGATTTGCTTGACCTCCCAGTCTCAACTTGAGGAGAACGCCAGCAGCGAGATCGTGACTTGCAATGGCCTGTGCTTCTGAAGCTCGTGCTAACAGAACAGGGAAATCCATTTCTGAGAGCTTTCGCCGACAAAGGCTCCAGAGTGCGAGAAATGGAGGCCGGCGAAGCAGTGGTGAGACATTTTTGTATTTGTGCAGATTTTGTGCAGATAAGTGCAGGTTCCTGGACCGGGTGCGGAACCTAAGATCCGCTCACGATCTGCGAAATACGAGACGTCTGCCGCCCAACAGAGGCAGACGGCCCCGGGAGATCTCCCTTCTGCCGAAGATGAGGAGGATGCGCAGCTGCTCGGGCCCTGTGGGCCAGCGCCAACATGGTACTTGATTTCACCACTGCCGAGGCAGGAAGCACTCAGACTGTCGATGATCGAAAGCTGATCGACGAACAAGGGCTCCTCAGATTCAGACCGATACACTTCCCCTGCTGAGTCAGCATGCGGGCGTCATCAACGCACTGAGTTGCCTGCTGCCAGCTGAGTTAATTTCGCACTTGCTCAAGAGACAGGTGCGATACGAAAACGGAGCATGGACCCCACCGGACACAAAGCCTACGTTGCACAGAGAGAGACACACACACACACATGCATGAGCAGTCGTGATGTCTGGTATGTCTGGTACACATGCAACCTTTTAGACCATTCCATCCTTCAGTTCTTCACGTCCGGCGGGCCGCTTTGGTGCGAGTAAGGTAGCAATCCATGGCTCCGCGCCCTCCTTCGTGCATCCATGCGCGAGCGGCTTCGCACAAAGACCAGATGCTTGCAGAGAAAAGCACACGCCCGTGCATACATCAGCAGGAGGGTAGCAAGTTATGAAAGCTCGACTGCCTTTCGATAGCTCGCCTTGAGGCGCTGCCTTTGCCTGGCCTTGACTTGCTTGAAGCCGTGTGTGTCTGTGTCATGTTTTTGGCCGAGTCGCAATTACGGATCGAAAGTCTGATGCAGCGATGGTTCTTTCAGGCAGCCTAGCTTCACGAATGCATCACGAGGCCTCAGTTTCTTGCAAAGCCCTGCCGGACCCTTCTGTTGAGGCGGCTGAGAAGCTGCGAAACAACGATGGACAGGACCCACACACGCATTTTGACAAAACTTCCAGGATTGCCGCAGTTGCCGTGGGTTGCAATCATCCGGGTACGGGTATGGTCGAGTGAGTGAAGTGCAAAAGCCGCATTCCCAGTTCTCAAACCAAGTTTAGTTGCTATATGGACTAGCGGTTTGTGGATATACTGATTGTTGAGTGGTCGGAGTAAAAGCAGGTCAAGCTTTGTCGCAGGTCGTCCGTCCGACTCCCTGTCAATCCTTTGCCGGTGGACGCACTGAACCCCTTTCAGGTGCGGTGGTTTGGCGAGAAGAAACAACTGTTTTGAGCCTGCGCTGTGCAGGCCCCTTCAGACCAGACGATCAAGAGAGTAACAGCCTTGGAGACTTCCATGATGGAGGCGGGCAGCAGCTTGCGACGAGGGTATTGCTCTGCTTTGCTTCGAATCGGTCATGGCGGTAGTCGAAACTGTTTCTATTGTTGCTTCGATGAAAATCAGCCGCTGTGCGCGTTGCCAACCTTCACGCCGCGGAGCGCATCTTTTCGCAACGTAATGGCGGTGGAATTGGATTATTGGATGGTATTGGTGGCTCTTGAGGACAGGGAGGTGGAGTGTGGTGGTGGTTGTCACAACACACTGGTGCTGGAAGCATCCCCACAACCCCAGACTCCATTCACGCAACCAAGCAGAATCGAAAGCAACCCCCAAACCCCAAAATCCATGCATGTATCCAAGCCACCAGATGAGGTATTCCCGATGAGCGGTTTCCAAAAATGCTGACAAGGCAGGCTTCCCGAGACCGAGGGTCGCCTCTTTGGCGGCGGACACGGGCAAGATACCATTCTTTTTGTACAGTGGCTTGACCCGCGTAGTTGGCAGCTCATCTGCACAGAAGACATGACAGGTGGATCCTAGGGTAAGCTCAATGAGAACAGAAATTTCATGTGGACCGAAGGCGGGAAGCTAGCTTGATTATGATGTCAGTATGAAAGCAAGCGAATGAGATCTTGGTGTATCTGATTGCCGATCAGTGCAAATATCTTTTTGTGCACGAGATTCTGTTCTGTTCCACAGGTCAGTATACTTGTGATATGCTGTCGACTCCTTTGCCAAATGCACCCCAGCCCTAAACCCCAGCCTTAATACACGGATTCCCAAACCGCAAACAATAAAAAGCCCCAATCAGCATGAAGCGCTAAACCCCGAATCCCCAAAATCCCAAGCCCTGAACCCTAGAGCCGTGAAAGCCCGGGACCCCAAGCAGGAGGAACAAAGTACTAACAAACACGAAACGAAAGACACTGAACCCAAAGCCCGAGCGAAGGGTGTTCTGTGCGGGTGAGTTCGTGAGTTCACAAGCGTCGTGGAAATTCACATGACTGGTCATGTATACAAGTTCATAGGTAACCCACCTCGGTTATCTTAAGCACAGAACGGAGAGGGCCCTTCTGGCATGGGGAATGGGGTCTTAACTTTGTTTTATTCAAGGGTGATGCGAAACACAGCAACTGAAAACCACAGGTTCTTTCGCGGCTGTTCGCCTAACTCGTCCAATTCCTTCAACCCCTCAACCCCCGCACCCAGATCGAGGCGTGACAGGGGGTTCGGACGCAGGACCAAAAGTGCTTACAAATGTCTGGGAAGGGGAGTTGAGGGGATGGGAACAGACTACGTCCAGTCTCTAGATGTCGAAGCCTCGGCAGATTCGTCATCGCTCATCGCTCCAAAGATCGCTTGTACTGCCGTTGCAGCAGATCACACGGCGTCTGGATGACTGGACGGAGGCAGGGGGCCTAGATACTTATCGCAAGAGATAACTTGCAACCGAGACCAGTACTGGTGGTAGTTCCTCGTCAGTGCTTCTGGCACATGCGTTCAGAGGTCACGCGACAAGGAATTGCAGATTTGCGGGCCGAGATTGGCGCAGCTTCAAGCCCAGCCCGCTGCGGGGAACTGCGAAGCGGAGCGAAGCGGAGAGCTGCGAAGGTCAAGCTCGAGCAGCGCTTTTCGCAGACCTTGCGAAATGCACCAAACGAAGGCCACAAGCAGTGCTTTGCGTGATTTTGTGTCTCTGCGCTTCTCTTCGCGGACGCACTCATGAGCCCTGAATCTCAGGAGATGTGCTGAATGGTTTCCGGCAGGACGCTGCCACCGGTACTCCTTTGGAGGCTAATCACTTCTGGTTCTTACGTGTACTCACAATCGATCGGTTCCTGAAGCGGAGAGTTCAGGGTGGAAAGCAGGCGGAAGACAGTGGTGAGGCAAGAGAGCACTGTGGAACAGAGCGCCTGCAGCAGTGTCAATGTGAAACTCCACGCGTCTACAGGGCCTGAAGCATCGCTTCGAGGTTTTTGAGGAGAAGCTGTCCGTCCAGCACCTGGAGGGCTTGTGGACCAGTGTTCTGGTCCGCCTTGTTCGCGCGGCCTTCTCAGGCCATCCACAGCGAGCACATGTTGGACACAACTTCCATGAGAGAACGGCTGGAGGTCACCACTTCAGACTGAAGTCGAACCTGCACATCATGTGTCTGGACAGGCTGCTTTACAGCAAAGTGACAGTCAGACCTCGCGAGCGGATGAACTCCAGGCACTTTGTAGTGACTGTAGGCTTAGTTTTGGCAAGTATGCGGCGAACACGATGACTGATCGACTTGAGGCACTCCTCAAGGAAGAAGAGGGCCGTCGTATGTTGCTCTTCGTCCGTCTCGAAGCTGTGGAGGAGATCGGTGATAGTCTTGGAGTTGCTGTCACGTTCTCTCACTGATCAGGCTTCGCTGCAAGACCTGCGAACGAATCAGCGGGACATCGCTTCAGCGAATGAGGTAATTGCTGCTCATGTCATCGCTCTGTTGTGTGTTACAATTGAGAGGTGACGGAGAGGGTCTTGAAGGGTGAGCTGAAGAAGGAGGCCAGGCAGGCCACATTATTGTTGTCGGGCAGCCTGAAGCCTCGGTTGTTGCTACGAAGGGATTGAGCAAACATTGCTTGGAAAGTGAAGACAAGCTGCGCAGCAGGCATCTGGAATGCTTCAGGAACTGGACGCTCGCCTAAAAGTCGGAGTCCCAGCCATGCCTGGGCCCTGGACTGTCATGGAATCCTGCAGTCTGCGAGGCCCTGGAAAGTTCAGCCGCGACAGATGCTTGGAAGCACCCGAGCAGTGCACGTGCCAAAATTGCATGGTTGGCACGGAATGGTTTTCGGGCGACAGATCACCGCTTTGTTTTGAAGTGTGTGATGCGAGAAGCAGTCTTCCATTCTGTTGGAAAGCGGTTGTGAGATCCGACGGGAGCTGCCAGGACACAGTCGCTGCGGTTCAGAGCAACACTGCTGCCGACCTGGGCGCCTTTGCCGACCTTGATGCTGTTTGTTACTATGGCGATCATGTAGAAACTGCGGGTATCGACCTTGCACAGGCGAAATGCGGGCATCGCTTTTGTCATCAACAAACGACATTCAGCGCTTGGCACCGGCCTCCTTCGAGCGATAAGCGATTCCTCACAGCTTCTCCGCAAGTCCAGGCCAAGGAAGTCGCAACGATCCGGGAGGCAGGCGCATTGGTACGGCGCATCCGCAGATTCAAAGTAAAAGCAACGTTTTGAGCACCTGGCAGGAACATGATCAAGCGATTGGAGACCTTGGCAGTCTCACCGAACGTGTGGCCAAGTCCGCCATTGCGGGCATTCAGCGTTCGGAGGACTGCACGGGCTTTGTGGGGCTTGGTTGAAACAGCCAGCGGTACAACCGAGCCCAGCGACCTCAAGCTGTAGCGGTGCTTTTGTTGTGACCTTGTGCGGTCGACCAGAGAGGTGGAGCTGTCTCAGCTCATCCTAGCACGGGTGGAACCACGCGTCGCTTCTTTGGAGGCTTGGGAAAGTCTTTGGGGGATCATTGAGTCTTATGTGAGTTGGCTCTGGGAGCGCAAGATACAGGCAAAGATCGGCGGCACCCAGGCTCGCTCATGGCTCGCGTGTGCCGTCGCCTGCAGTCAGAAAGTTCGGAAAGTTTATACCCTCCCAGGCAGAGGACCTCACGGAGCCTGCAGCTTTGGATGTTTTCGCTTCTTCCACTTGCAGAGAGCAGTTTTCTGCCGCCAAGGTCCACCGAAACGGGGATCATGGGAGCCACCAGGCAGTGAAGGCACAGCATGTGCCTCGCATGCGCACCTCGCTTTGTGACAGGCATGTGGCTGAAACATCTTCCTCCGAGGATAGAGTCTGAGAATGTCAAAGCTAGTTCCGTGATCTGGGCATTTGTGAGAGAGACACAACGGATTGTGTTTTCTTCGAAGCTGAGGTGGAGCCGAGCTGGGTTCAGGACGAGAGGACCGTCGGAGCACCAGAGGCTCCAAAGCCAGTGCACAGCCAGCTCCGGGCAGGAAAAGCCAAGGCAAAGGCCCTGACGGCCCTGACAATCTTCGACAGGGTGTCAAAGACAAGCTGCAGGGAATTACAGACGCGGTTCAGCAGGCCAGTTCCGAAGGAAGAGGCATCTAAGCGCAGTTCGCAGCAGAGCTGGAAAGGTCCTGGGCGCCCTCGAGTCTGGCGAGAAAGTCGGTGAGACTAGACCGCCAGGCCTGGCTCTAAGGGTGTCGGCAAGAGGGCCATCCATGACGCCGTGGCCGAGGAACCCTTGACAAGCAACGCATGCAAGAGAGCTCGCAGCCGACGAGCGCACTCGCTGCCGAGGCCTCGGTGTGTACAGGGGGTATTTTGGCCACTTGGCTTTTGGCGAGTATTCTGTGCAGGCACCTGATTTCTGGCAAGGCATGGCACCGTGTTTCGCGCAGTTGGTGCAGTGTTTTCCTTTCTTGACAGTCTTGACTGCTGTGCGATGCAGTTAGTTTGGCTCACAGCCAGTAGGGAAGTCCTGAGTGCCAATCCACGCACTGCCTCGAAAGCCACCTGCTGCCAATGACACTCAGTTCAGAAAGACGTCTAAGAGTCCAAGATGATTTTTCGTGTTACTGGCTGTGTAAGCTTTGGCAGCTGCAGTCGAGGTATTCCGACCCGCCGAGCCTGCCTACTCTCTTGACGTCGCGTGGACCTCTCGGACCTTGTGGACGAGACAAACTGTCAAGAGGCAAAGATCTGGAGATCTCCATTCCTTCCGAGCTGGAGGCATCCGAGCTGGCAGATGTTGTGTCTAAAAGCGTGTCTTCATCATCCTGTCGGAGGAAGCATTTCCGCTTCCGCTTCGAGTTCGCAACACCTTCATAGATGTGGGCGATGATGAGCAGCTCTCGGAACAAACGGCACAATCTGCGCCTGCAAGGCAGTAGGAACCTGGAATCATGGAGACTCTGCTTGCAGTCGTGATGCTCAAGTGTGTCGGAGGCATGCTGGTCGGATACACCAACTTTGGCGAGAAGGCTGAGGGTTTTCCTGAGTGTTGTTCTGGAAACATTCCTGGCTCCCGAGGGTTCTCCACTCCTTGCAAGAGCCCAGTCGGACCGCAGCTGAAAGAGACCGCACTTCTCACAGCTGTTCTGCTCACATCCGACATTCCGACATATCTGGCTGATAATTGTGGAGATACATCTGCAACCTGAGGTAGAGTGCCCTCCACCAAAGCCAGTTCTGCGCCTGGTTGATGTCTTGCCAGGCCTGCTTGCCATCGGAGTGCTCTCTCGTACATTACACTTGTCCTCCATTGCGCAGGAAATCCAGAACCACTGGTCGGCAACAGCTACGACGGCTATGATGGCTGCGGACGGACGCAGAGGACGCCTTGGGCAGATCTGTCTGCAGGCGACGTCGCAGTGAGCGAATGTGGTGCCCTCTTGCTTTTGTCATTCGTTCACTGCGACCAAGGATGCCAAGGCACGTCGAATGGACCTCCTGACAGTGCTCCTGCAGCACGACTTGGCCTGGTCAACTTAAATCCTCCAAGCCCAACGCCTGCAGCGGCGGTGCCAAGCCCTTTCATTCACGGGATGTACAGCACTTCGAAGACCGAAACGAAGGTCCGCACTTCAGCTTGAAGCCCGTTTGTCCGGATGTGCAGTCCTGAAAGATGCAGGTCCAAGATGTAAAAACGCCACCGTGCTGGGGAGGCATTTGGCACCCTTCTCAAGGCGTTTGAGACATGCCATGCTAGGGTTCACTTTGGTTCCGCTGCCCGCTGTGCCCGAAAGGTGAAACTTGGCAGCCTCGCCTTGAGCGCTTCGACCGTGACCGCTTCGACCGCTTTGACCGTCAAGGATGCCAGGGACATCCGGTACCGCCGGTGCCGACAAGCTTAGGATGCCGACCTCCAGAGATGGTACCCCAGGCACGCAAAGAGTTCTGGTTTGCACGGCTTCAGCGGCTCTCGGCCAGGTGCCGGTTCCATGTATTCCGTCCACACATGTCCGAAAGCCATTCGGAGAGCCGTGGCACAGCACTTGGCTGCTTATTTTCTGGACCTTGTTTTGCCCTGACTTGCTGGAATCCAAGGCTCACAAGGACCAAGCCGCAAGTGGACTCATACCCTGTGGTTCGGAAGCCAAGCTGTCTGCCCAGCTTGCGCAGTCATGACCATCCCGCCAAGGGGCCTCTGGCCACTAGCCCACTTGTGACAGTGCCAGCTCCTGCCACTGCCTCATCGAGCCTCCAAAGTCGATAGCCTTGACTGTTCAAGCTGAGAGGTCGGGCCCGCGCCGGGATCCTTCGAACTTCCCAGCATTGGATCGCAAGGGCATTCCGTGGGCCAATGTACCTGGGCAGAACTGCAATGGAAGCAATGGTGTGCATGCATTACTCAAAGCGCGAGCAGCAAGTCAAGGGAAGCTCAGGAGTTTCCATTACCCAGATATGCAAAACGGCAAACCGCCTCACAGACAAGGGACGATCAGCGCCCCCAGTTCAGCGGTCTTAGTGATCGTCAGATCTTTCTTTCCGGGGCCTAACTATCCGTCTCTGATTGTCAACACAATGAACCTTGGTCAAAGTACCGGACGTGAAGTCAGACACTTACTCAGCATGGTCGACATTCGAAGAGCTCAAACGAGATGGGCCAGCTCCCTTGAAATCGCTGTTGAGCTTCTGTCCGCGAAGAGACAAGATCGTCCACATCAATATGATTTGCGTTTGTTTTAGTGCAAGGTTAAGAAATTACCAATATTTCATGTGTGTAAGACTTTTTATTTTTCGCTAAGTTTTGAGGGAACTTCTCGGTTTGCGAGCGACGTGCAGCAGCACAGAGGCGATCTTGGTCGTAGAAGGATATAGAAAGTCCTTTCAGAAATAGAGACGTTGCTGTTGAAAGATGGAACATATTTTTGAACAAAGCGGGAACCAGCCGCAGATGTGGGGGCCGGGGTGGTGCTGGGGGTTGAGTTTACGTCTAAGTTCGGTTTTTTGCAGTTAACGTTTGTTGTAGTTGCACTTGATAGACGTGTGCTTATATTCACTTCATATATGTTGTCATGTTGAAGTTCATACTCACACTTTTTTTGGATTTATGCTTGTACATGCTTTTGTACCTGTGCGTTTGTATCTATATCTGTTCTTGTGCCTATGTAATATCTGTATTCGTAGCTGTATCTTTATCCCTATTTGCATCTCTCTCTCTCTCTCTCTCTCTCTATTTGTCCCTATTCCTATCCTATCCGCATCTCTATCTCTAGCTATGCCTGTATCTATCTAGATATCTATCTCTATCTCCACATCCACACCATCTATATCTTTGTCTATATTCGCATGTCCTCGTCCATGCCCATGTCCATCCCCAAATATCCAGAGAAGTATTAATGTCTCTATTTTTGTCTGCATCTTTATCTGCATCTACAGATGCAGTCTGTATTATGTTCATACCTGTGTCTGTGTATCTTTCATATATAGTGGGAGATGTTGCTCCTTCCTTGGATCATAGTGTCCCATGTATATAGCTTTGAGCACGGAAGCGATTGCATCAAATGGATGTAACTGGAAGTCATCAAGCAGCATCAGCAAGAAGAGCACGCGATTGCAAGAAGTCGTCTCGTGCATGTGTTAACGCACTCGGACGATATCCGTGCTGCGGCTTTCGTGTTCCGACTGGTAAAACATACAGGTTTTTTGCCGAAGGCGTCTTTCCGGCATACATGGAGCATTGAATTTGGAGCATGCTCCTTTTGCATGTGCTCAGACACACAGTGGGACGTTGCAACACGCACCGGCGATGCCCTGAGCTTCATGCTTGGGGCAGAGAAGCCCAGTGCAGCGAAAGCGTTGGAGTCTCCCAACTTGTCACTGGTCCTGCCATACCATTCCTGTCTGCTTCAAGTTGACGGTACAAGATTCAATTGGCAGGCAAGCCTTGTGCGTTTCTCCACACGAAGGTTGGACTTGTGAAGACGCAGTCGATCGGTTGTGGGATAATTCAAGCTTGACTGCATGCCGTTGTGTGGAGGGGTGCGACAACGGCGCCGTGTGCAAGTTCTGCCACCTATGTGAGCCGGGCGAGAAGAAGCGCCGCCAGAAGGCGTTGGCCCGTTTTGAGGTTGTGAAACGTTACTGTAGCCAGATGGTACACTTACATCGTCGGAACTGCTCACGCCACACTGTTTCACACAGTGCTGTTCATCGAAGTTTGATTCGTCTTGATTGCAGAGGGTATAGCCGTGTGTGACCTCGTGGAGATGCTTCTAACATTGGAAAGCTGAGTATTGGCAGCAAGTGCAGGAGAAGAGACAGATGATGCGAGGCAGCAGCTTGCCAAGTAGGTCAGGTCAATAGTATCAGTACATGTGGTGGCACATGCGCTGAGCCTAGGTGCGCAGTGAAAGATGGATTGCCACATGTCCTGGCCAAAGGAGCTTGATTGTCACTCATATAGCTTGAGTAGCCCAGCTAAACAGCAGGGTAGGTGCACGACTGCCGCCATCGCAGGGAGAATCTCTAAGTGTTCTCTTTGCAAGGTGGATCGGTAGGCGCAAATACGCGCCCTCCGCACTTTCATTGCACTTCTCCTCAGAAGAAATGCAAGTTTAAGATGCCCATGATTGCGGAACACTCATGTGATGAAGCTGAATTGCTCCGGTAAGTCGGCTATATTATTCTCGTTGTTGCCGTCATGAGGCCTGCGTTCAACACCAGCGAAGAATCTGTAGGGGCTGTTATCAGCACCTTTGACCTTGATCAATCATGGAATGCAGAAAGCGTCGTGCGGCAGAGCACTATTCTCGATTGGCCCACTTGTGTACCAAGTCCCGTTAAATCGTTGTTGGCGGTGTCCTGCTTGCAGCATGCAGGTCCTCTTGGACGACTGCAAGAGGAGGACAGATGTGGCAAAAACACCTGTCAAACGACAGAGGCTAAACTTCAGTATGCAGCTGCCTGGGGTGGCTCTTCCCAATGTCATATTGGCAGGATGGTGCTCTTCAGGAGGTGTCGAGGTTGGCCCACTGCTCGTGACGTCACTGGGAGCATGGTCCGGTTGTCATGAAATCAGGGCGTGCCCATTGGCACTTTCACCACGCGGGCCCGGATGCGCTCCCGACCGTCCCGCTGGATCCTCAGCAATCGTGCACGAAGATGGACGTGTCAGCTAGATTTCTGTGTATGTCTTTGTTTCTTTGTATTTCTCATCTTGTAGACCTTTGGGCTGGCATTTGCATAGGTTTTCTCATGGTGTGGATTTGGGTGCTCTTCATGGAAGCCACAGAAGCAAAGAAACGAAGCGGGCGCTTCAACCTTACGAGGACCTGCCCAAAAAGCAAGACATTACGGAAGAAATGAGACAGGCAGGCACGCTGGAAGGAAGGAAGGAAGGAAGGCAGGAAGGCAGGATGGCAGGAAGGCGTCAGGAAGTGGAAGAACATCGGCTGATATTGCATCCAGAAAGAGTAGTGTGATGCATGAACTTGGTGTTGGTTTCCACGATTGTTCCTAATTCTAGGTGTTCACAAGCTTCGGTACCAAGCCGTTTAAGACATTTTCAGAGGTGGTCGCCCAGCAGGTTATAATCGACGAGCATGTCTGCTGTTTTTTCATCGTTGGGAGTCTTTGAGAGAGGACCGTAGCAATAGTCTAATGGGGATATCAGTAGTGGTAGTCGTATATCACGACAGAAATTCGTGCTAGACATGCAGAGGGAGATACTCGGTTGGGTGTACTCATGTCTTTTGTTTGGTCATTGCTCGAAGCCTTTCACTTGGAGCTCTGCATGCAGGACGAAACCAAGCCAAGCCAGGCAGGAGCGGAGGTGAGCCAAGCCAACTCCTTCCCCAACTCCCCATTCCGCTGAAGCCAAACCAGGCCGCCATGCCCAGTGCAAAAAGCTAATGTACTATGGCTGCACGAAGGGAAGCCCCCCTCACATGTCAGCCAAACCACTCGAAAATAATTCAACCTAGGAGAAGCCGGGGAAGACAGGAAGAAAACAACACCTCCAAGCCCGGTCCCTTCAGAAAGACAGGTCTCGCCAGAACGGGCCGTGGCTGGGCCCGAAGCTAAAGGGGGGACGTCCCACAGACAGCCTCGAGAGATCTCGGCGGGAGGTCGGGGCTGGCCAGCCTTGGCAGCGGAGGGCACGGCGGGCACGGAACCGGACATGGGCGCTTCTCGAGGAGCGTGTGCCACTGACTGCTGCGCTGTGCTGCTGCTGTGCTGTGCTGCGTTTGGTGCAGGCCGAGGGCTGTTGCACCGTCCTCGCCCCCAGTGAAATTCTCGACTCGGAGCCTTGGAGTGAAATACCTGGAACTGAGGGTTTCGTGGGACAAATCGCCAACGACATCGACAGAGAACTTGCTGAGCCACGGCCACGACCTTTGATCTTTCCATTCTCAACGGTGGTAGCATCTGCTCAGTGTCACAGATTGGTGAGGTCTTCCATTCGGCCCTTCTGGCGGCACCAGGCTGCGCTGCTAATCTTAGTTGCCTTAGTTTCTGAGGCACGTTGCTTCGGAAGGGCCGAAAGAGTTCCGCCTTTCCGCCCTTTTGTCGAGTGGTTCTAGAATTCTGATTTGAACTGCTTTGCTTTCCGCACTTTGCTCAGCCTTGCTCGGAGAAGCTGCTGCTAAGCCGCTGAATGGCGCAGGCCGACGGCTCTGCCGGGACACCGCGAGATTCCAGGAGCCGACTCCGCGAGGTGCCAGCTCTCCGCCGAGATCTCGGCCGTCTTCCCAACTCCGTGTCGCAAAGTCTTGAGACTCCATCTCCTCATTTCTTTTCGGTCTTTGTCACCGCCTCTTCAAGTCTTTCCTGAGGCTGGGATCGCCTTGGCACAAGCCCACCCAGCAGCATCGCCTGCACGCCCGAGCGTCGTGCAACCATGGCACGTGCTGACAGCGAGTCGCACATTGCCGGCGTCCCCGATGTATTCTGCTTGTGGTCACCGTGGAGTGCCCTGGCCCTAGCCTGAGGCCCACGAAGGCGCCTGCGGCAGCCTCGGAAGTCCATTGTGTGCCGACATTCTTCCGACTCGGGCCCGGTTGCAAGTTCTGAGTTCGTGCGCATTTCTTTGTCATGAATTTCGATGTCAACTCCGCTGTAGATGCCAATGATAAGCTTGCATCCAAGCCCATGTCCACGATGCTAATGCATGTAATGTGACAACAGCAGTTTTCAAATCAAAGCAGACAATGGGTGAGATAAAAGATAAAGACAACGCGGATGAGTGGTGATCAAGAGATTAGGTTTCCAATCATCATGGTCACGCTAGTTCAGAAAGTTGGCTGCAAGGAGGCTCTGACAAGTTGTCTGTGATACGGAGATGGTACGCAGAAGTCGGAAGACTCAACTTCCTTTCATGGTAAGCCAGCAAGACCTGCCCCTCATACGGAGCAAAAATCAATGTGCGATAACGCGATGTGCTGTGCGAACTCGTGGTTGTGTGCTGAGACCAATGTCAATGGCTGCCGCAACTCCCTGACCCAGGCCTTTTCATGAGTCGTTTGCTGCACCTCTGACTTTCCCATGAGCAGGGCCTCCGGACCCGGCAAGCATTGTGAGGGCTGGGGTGAGCCCAGACTGGGAAGTCGCGCTGGCTCTCCTGACATTCACTTTCTCGCGACATCTGAAGCCGGGTGTTTCGGGATTTGTGGTACGGGAAGCCATGCCTGGATAATGTACGGGCTCCGCACAGGAGCAACTCTGTCATGGAAGACATCTGGAAAATCCGAGATGGGCGAGCTCTGGTCAAAGTACCAGTCTTGCGATTTCATGGCCGTGTCAACATGTGGCGGTTGCTGGGTGGCTAAGCCTGTGCCAGGTCGCACCAGCACTCGCTAAGCTTCCTGTAATAGATCTTGACGAACCGATACGATAAACATCCAGAGAACAATCTCGGATGTTGAATGGCTTGATACATCTGCCTCGTCCGCAGAAAGGATTCGTGCTCGCATCAACCTTGAGTTAGTGATGCGGAAAATCGATGGACGATACCTTCCGAAGGGGAAAGCTGAGATGACAAGAGGTTCGCTGCAAGGGAACGTAGGTAAGCATGAACGAAGAGTCATTATCTCGGAGATGACTGCACTTTCACTTTGCTATTCTGCGCTTGAGCTGACATGGCACCGGCGGTTTGCGCGTACATGCTGAAATCTGGCGCTGCGGTCTGGTTGTGTTCCAGGGGAGGTTTGCAGATTTGCAGGAATGCAACGACACCAGAAGCCTGGCTATACAAGCGCAAGCATACTTCGTCTATCCTGCACAATGCAATGCTATGCAGAGCGCAAAGCTCACCTACCCTTGAACATGTTCGTGCATGAGACATCAGGTTCTCCGGAACTTGGATCTTGAGCACCTCATCACGTGCAAGTGTTAGCGAGCGGCGGCAATGCTTTCGGCGTTCTGGATGCCGTTGCATGCTGTGAATTTTTGGTTCTTATCTTTGTCTCAATGTACCTTGTGTTGGGATTTTCTTGACCAGACTGTCGCCCTTGTCCCGCGGCAAGCGGCTCACAGTTTCAAAGTTCGAGCATGCAGCTTGTTTGCTTCGGATGTGTGAAGCTTCAACTTTCGGCTCCAGTTATGTAGTTCATTCGCGGCTGTTGGGAAAGCCGCGAAGAATGGCCTTCTCCTCAGTACGAGGGCAAGAATCTCAGTCGGCTGCACCGCGGCCCATTGACCAAGGCCTTTCCTTCGGTGGGAGGGTGAGCTCGGCTTGAATTGATGCCTTCCTTTTGTGCAAGTCTTGTTTGCGTTTTTGAGAGCTCGAGGCCCTTCGTCTGGGCTTTCGTGGCGTTTTCTTCTGCAGGATTCCAAGCTCCGGCCGCCAGCGTAGGGTCTAGCGACTTGACGACTTTGCTCATGAGGTCCTTCACTTCTTCGAGCAATATCTTGAGTGGAGGCAGCTGCAAAAGCCGGGTTCTCATCTATTCAGGTGCAAAAGCGGGGGAAATCATCCCACGGAATGTAAAGGAACAGGGAGACTGCGGTGCCAGCGGAATTCCAAGGCCAGGTGGTACGGTGGAGTGATCAGAAGATGGTGATTTCGGGGCAGGTGTTGTTGATGAGTCGAAGTTCCTGGAATCACAGGACAGGAGGGCAGCGGTCGGTTTAAAAGCCACTTCTGTCATGGACCGCAGGTATACCAGAAGGACAAGCGCCTCTTTGGCTTTGTGAAAGACTGGGTTAGCTTCATCTATGATAAGGCCATCATCGACACATGTCACCATTGCAAAGGGCTCAGAAGCCAAGCCGGGTGGTGTGCAGGTGCAGCTCTTTCTGATTACTCCGTGGCTGTGGCACTATGCGGTGTCATACTTAGCTGTGTGCATGCCAGAGTCGTGAGAGAAACAGCAAGCCTGTTAGGTCGCGGTCTTTGGTGAGGAGGCCGATCTCTGATAGGGTCTCTCATAGGGTAGAAGGTACGGCAGGCGGTCATGTAAGGCGGAGTACAGCTGCACCCTCTTCTGGCTCTTCCTACTGCAGTGGGTCCGGCTCGCCCCATGCTCGGTGAGAGCAACTCCTCGACTGGTGTTTCTTGATCCAGGTGGAAAAGCCCATCAGCATCCCGTTCTCCCTCTACTCCAACTTTGTAGTGGAGGACTCTTGGCTTCCGTGGCTTCTCGACCCCTGCTTCTCATGCATCGAGTATGGGTCAGAAGCGCACCGGGAGCGGTTGTCACGAACACGAGATTCACCGCGACCAGACACGTGAAACATTAAAAAGCACATGATTCAAAAACGGACCATGGGGAACGGGCTGCACCGTCCGCAGCAGGAGGGATTGGGGTGGGGCATCCCGCTGGAATATCCGTTCTAGCACCGGTGCGGGCGCTTCGAGTGTGTTCATGGATATAATATGTCGCGAGATCTTGCTTGTTGAAACCACTTCTGAGCCCAAGAGAAACATGTGGCAAAGAACAACAACTCTCCCATTAGGTGCTGCGACGGCTTGGTCGAAGACTGTCTGGTGCATGCCAATGCAGGGCGTGAGGCTGGCAGCGGCCAGCATGAATCTTGGCGACCTCGCGTTCGAGCTGAACTTTCGGCGCTGTCCGAGTTTGTCGATATCTCAAGGGTCGGCGAAGAAGACGGTGGAAATTAGCATCCGTTTCCGAACACCAATGTCGGTGAAGGCGGTACGTCTGCACAAGACACCTGCGTGAGCGCCCACGGCAACTTCGGCATCCGGCACGGCTACGCCGGAGTACCTTCTGCTTACGGCTGGGTTGCGGCAGGGGATATGTGAGAGTGGCCGGCAAGGGTCAATCGCTGTTGTTTTTAGTGTTTTTACAACCGCTTTTATTTAGAACTGTTTCTTCAAGCGTTCGCCGTGTGGCAGAGTCCACGGAATTGAGCAAAGTACATTTCAACAATCAATTGAACATTTGTAAAGAAATATCAACAGAACATGTGTTGTGTTCTAAAATCCATACAACAGAACATCTTAGGATTACAAGGGCCTCAAGTGTTAGAGACAGGTTCGTGTTTCCAGTTCGCTGGACTAGAAGCCACGGCCTCGTGGGGTGACATGACAACGACACAGATCGATCTGAGGGCCGCCTGGCGTGCGGTCGTGTATGTGGATGGGGGCGCCGTGGAGCTGTTGCTGGAGCGGTTCGACCTTTCAACTTTGGCCGCCAGTTCAACGAGGCGGTCGATGATGACGACCATCATCGTCCCGCCCACCCCCTCCCAGAACAGGGGTCACCATCGCTGCGACGAAAGCTCCTTCGACCTCTGCGCCCATTACCAGGCAAGGGGTGCAACTGGTGCAAGCAGCCAGCGGTCGCTAAGCCGCCTTCCCAACAGGTTGGGGCCTTAGGGCCACAGCACCGGGTCGCACTGTTTCGATGTCGGCGGCTCCTACCTGCACGCCAAAGCAGCAACATCAGCAACAGACCGCTCAAGGTCCAGTCCCGAAGATGGCAGATGGCTAAGCCGAAGACGCTTTCCTGAGCGAAGCCACCGACAGTGAAGGCCGACCTGCCCGTTCGCACAGGCCTTGCGTGTGCTGCTGCCACTTGTCGTGGTCTGCTGCAGCCCATTCCACCCTATGTTTGTTTGGTGTGGGGCGTGGAAAAAGTTGACGTTCGATCTCAAACCTTAAACAAATCTTCAAACACAGCTTTTCAACCCTTTTTCAGAGAGTTCCAATCTAAATACAAGCAGCCTTGCCAAGGGTCCGCTGCCGCTGCTGGGTTCCGAGTCTCTGGTTTGGGGTTTTAGGGTTTAAGGGTCCAGAAACCTTTCTTCTTGCCAACGGTACCATTCAAGACGAACTAGCGTGGGGGCGGACCACTGCTCGCCTTTGAGGTCGGACCGTTGGGCGTCCACCATTGTTGGTGTTCAACAACCCTCGGCTAGCAAAGCACATGAGGAGTTTTTTTGGGGCTTTCCCATGCTGGATAAGGCTGGGGATTTTCTGGCCTTTCCAAACCCTAATTCTCATGCTCGAACATGTCCGTATTTTTCTGGGCTTTCCGACCCCTTTCTAAAGTTTGGCCACTTCTCATCCAAACCACTCCTGACAGGATTGCTGGTTGGCCTCCATGTTGTAGTAAATCAGTTCCTGAAAATCGTTGTTGGGGCTTGGGGGTTCGGGTGTTCCGTTTGGTTTAAGTTGTCGAGCTGAAGGTACAATGCAATCCAGCATCCATGAAGTTGCGAGTAGATTTCTGGGAGACTTTGTGCGCGCCGGCTTGATGTAAACGAAGGTCCCAAGCATACGTACATGTCCGCGCTTTCCAACTCATCATAAGGTCATCTTTCAAAGGGATTTTTTAACCTCGCGACGGAGAGGACAGTACAAGCCTTCACAGTTTTTTATTTCCCACCCTATGCAAACGTTACCCTCTTCTTTGCAAGGGCTTTCTGACTCCCGCTCGCTCTCTCTCCGTCTCTGTCTCTCCTCTCTCTTCTCTATCTCTCTCTTCTCTCTCTTCTCTCTCTCTTCTCTCTCTTCTCTCTCGCCGCCGACAAGGCTAAAGCGCTTACAAGAGCCGCGGCACTCTGCTTAAGACTTGCCAAAAACGTGAGACTGTATCGCTCTCCTGGCTCCTCTGTCTGGACGTCGACTGCATCCCTTCGTTGCGATCTTCCTGGTGGGGACATCTGGACCTCGAAGCTGGTGCAAAAGTGCGGAACATGCTGGGGCCATCAACGAGACTTGCTACATCTTTTGCTTTCAAGCTGTACCTGAGACGACTGATACATCCAGTGACGTTCGACTCAGGTCGATTGACATCTCGCCTGCTGCGTCCTCTCAGGGACGGGGTGAATAGCTTCC